TGTCTTAAACAGAGAATGAGTTCTTGAAGACATGAAGATGCGTCTTATGTTTTCCATTCATGTGCATTGGTATAGGAAGAGTATACTTCTATCCAGGATCTGTTGCTACAAGAGTGCAGTTATGTGTCAAGATTGTTTGTGGGTTCAAACAAATCTGGGACTTGATGAAGGCAGAATGTCAGACAAGATGTTGTGACATTGGGCTACTGCTCTAAGCTCATGGTGAACATGACAGTGTATTCCTGTTGGGTCTGTCGTTAGGTAACAATGGATCAAGTCAGGTATTTAGGCCTCTATCCAAGTATTTTATATGACTGGTGAAGATGAAGATCAGGACACCATCAGCCTTGATCTTGTGCATCAGGAAGGAATTTCACTCTGACATCTTGGAGATTTTCTGTCAAAGCTGAAATTTGAGAAATCTTCTAGATAGGAATCCTGCAACTGCCTATGCTATTTGCTCCAGTATGGGTTGTGAATCAAGGGGTGTAAAGCTGCCTGTGTGAAGATGATGAAGTAATTCTTCATGTGCTGGGGTTCTCTCTTTCAGGGGGAGAAATGTTTGTGCTGACAAGGGAAGATGTGTACCTGTCTGGTGTGTAGCTGCTAAAGTGGTGCAGTACTTATTAGAGGTCAAACAGCTTGTGTATTTCTTGGGAGATGGTGAGATGACTGTATGTACAGTTTGTGTTGAGCTTATGTATGTATAAGTACTCCATTTATTGTCAAAGTTTTGACTAAACCAAGGGGGAGAAAAGAAAAACTACACTACTGTTGCTGATGAGGAAAGCAGTGTTGCTGCCATGCTGGATGCAACTATCAAGGGGGAGCATGATAGTTTGTGTAAACTACTGCTGAATGCCGTGATAAGCTGTTTTAGCCAAAACTTTCCAAAAGGGGATTTTGTTGGTTCCATGGTTCTATGATATAGAATTGTCCATGGTTCTATGATTGGCTAAATTATGGTAAAACAAGATTCTACACTAATGTTAAACTGGATGTCATTACCATAGTTATGACATCACTAAAGGAGCAAGTAGGAGCTGGTGAAACAATTGTTGTGGAGTGGTTTAATGAGAATGTCATGTTGAGTGTCGTGACTTCCATCACGTCATCCATCTGCTGTCATGATAGAACTACTATCATGTGTGAGAAACAGCAGGAGTAGCAGTGCAGCAAAAGCTAGCAGGGGTTAATGACAGTACTGCTGTCATGTGTTTTGAACAAGATGACATCACTGAGCCAGCCAGCAAAGGCTAAAGAAAGAACTGCTGACATGGATGTCATTACCAAAGTAATGACATATGAATAACTGAACTGCTCTCATGGGTTGACATCTGGTGCAACAGGAGCTAACAAAAGCAGATGACATAACTGTTGTCATGGATGCAGCAGGAGCTATGTGCAACAGGAGCTAGCAGAGGCTGGCATCAAGGTCGAGTGCAACAAGAGCAAGCAGGAGCCAGTAGAGGCTGAAGAAAGGACTGTTGTCATGGATGTCATTACCAAAGTAATGACATAGCTGTCTGGCACAACAGGCACTGCTATGGGTCAACAGTAGCCTAGTTTCTCACAGGTTGAGCTGTGATGAAGTTCCTCACAGGCAGTGTGAGGTGTGCAGCCACAACAGGTTAAGTTGTGATGAAGCTCCTCACAGGTAGTGAGTGAGGTGTGTTGTCATGTGTCTTAAGCAGGACATCATTGCATGACAACAAAAGGAGCTGCTAGTGTATATCTCTTGACAGAATTGGTTTGGATTGATGAGACCATGTTGAAAATACCTCATTAGTAAATATGTCAAGGAGATGGATTAGGAACAAGAACAGATTGTATTGGTATTCATAAAAGGAACTTGGAGACCTTTTAGGAAACTGGAATATAATTGTTTCTAATATTACCTTTTAGGAAACTGGAATATAATTGTTTATAATATTATTCTGCAGAAGATTGGGTGAAGCCAGGTCTGGTGTAAAGACAAATCTGCAGAAGAGTGGATGTCATACTGAATGTCATGACATTGATCGTATGATATCAAACGAGCTGAGTTTGTTTTTCTGTTATGATACCTGATAGAACTCAGGCTAAATATCAAGAAACATGTTATGACTTCTGAGTTATATCAGGAGAGATTCAAGGCAATGCTGACCATGCCATGACCTAATTGGATATCACCTTGAATTGTGGAAATTAGTTTTATTTTGTTAAAACTAATATTTGTTACTTCTGCACAGCCCAAGCCCAGTCTGCACGACTATAAAAGGAGGAGCAGAAGCAGAAGAAAAGTAAGCACTCACACGAAGAAAAACCAGAGTGTAAAATAGAGGTCTAGGGTTGAGAGTCCCTTGTGTGTAAGTCACCCTTTGTATCTTTTGATACATTGAGGTGGACATATTTGTAAGTGAAGAAGGCTAGTCTTCACTTGTAAAGTCTGTTTAGGAATACTTGTAATCCAAGCAATTGTCAGTTGGATGATTGTTTTGGTTAGGTAGATTCTAGGTTGTGTCTCACTCGAAGCTGTGAAGCAAGAGTGTGTGAGTTCCTTGATCAAAGCTGTAAAGCAAGATCAAGGTGTGTATGAAGTGTCTCTTCATACTGTTTTTGTAATTGTTTGAAATCATTGTTGTGTGATTGAGGGGAAGTGAGTGGGTATACTCAGGTACTAGAGTGTCTCTAGGCTGAAATTGCATTGGGTAGAGATTAAGTGAGGAGTGTAAACTGGAGGTTTAACTCTAAATTAATTATGCTAATAGTGGATTTCCTTCCTGGCTTGGTAGCCCCCAGATATAGGTGTTGTTGATACCGAACTGGGTGAACAATTACTGTGTTATTTATCTTTCTGCATTTACAATTCTGTACTTTAAATGGTTAGATAAATAGCATGACAGACTGCAGATGTCACAACGTAGGTCGTGACATTGATCATGACATTGGGACAATTTAAAGAAATTTAAATTGGCCATGGTCTATCCTCATCCTTGTTGAGCAGAGATCAATGTTCTTGGAACACATGTGATCTGTATACCAGAATTTTAATGACTCTTCGACGAACCGCGTCCTCTGCGGGGGAGGGGACGGACTGAGGGAAACAGGACGACAGTGTCTCCGCGGGGGAGAGCGAGATGCTTATTCCCTTTCGAGCATCCCTATTTGTTCGTTTTGCCCGAAGATCATCAAGTTGGTTTGGTTGATCGCCACGAGCAGGGCCACCACGGTAGGATCAGCGCTAGTTGGGACCAGGATGAGCTGGTAGACAGTCGAGTTGTCTAAGCGTTGGACGATGTTGTTGGTCGCGTCTTTTGAGGAGTGAGAGGCAGTGCGCTTGTCCCTGGGGTCACCATCTTCATCGTGGACAACCGTGTTAGGATCATGGTTGTCCCCGTTGGAAAAGGGGGCAAAGGCAGATCCTGGAGCATTGTTGTGGCACGGCTGACCATGATTGGAATGGAAGTTGTTTGTTAATTTTGCTTTGGTTCTTGAGCTGCTGTGCTCGGACAGGAGAAAGAACAGAGAAGTAGAGGTTCTCACATACGGTGCCATTGATCTCACCTGATCAGAAAGGAATCAGTGACCTGCCACACGTCGTGATCTGATGCCTTCACCAGAATTGTGGAGGAGAAATGGGGTGTACCTGCAAAGTGCTCTGATGCCTAAGTAAGTACCAGAACTAGAGAGAGTAAGTACAAAGAGAAGGTGTGGAGAATATAATACCTGACCCTCTAGTGAAATAGGGTATTTATAATATGCCCCTAGCGCAGGGCCAACAGTTACATTGCATTGGACCGGATTGTCCAGTCCAACACAAGTAACTGCGAGGGCTTACGTGGCGTAGTAAAGACCAACACATGGTCTTCGCCCTGGATCAACTGCCCCATGATCTTCGGAAGGTGGGGTGACCATCTCTTTCGGAGGTGGGTAGTTGCCTGATGACGTTTCCTTGGCTGGGGGAACACGTGGGGGAAACGCGTGGGTTTCCCTGCTAGGAAGGTCATTTTCCCGACGGATGTGCCTTGTTGGGGCTCCTGCCCGACAGAGGAAATTGGGCCTTGTTGGGCCTCCTCAACCTGGCCTTGGCAGGCCCCGACCCTCAGTCCAGAACATTAACCATAATTGGAAGGTTTTTCTACCAGAAACTTTCATAACAAGTCAATAAGTGACCTTTTCAATGTATAAAATGATCATACTTTGTCACTTATAACGTTTTGAAGAACTTGTGCAAACCACAAACATGTTAAACGAAAACGTAACTAGAAATCAAATTTGTTATCAAAAAACTGAACTCAACATAAATAATGTTCTCTAACGATCTAATAAAACATACAAAGAAGAAGATTAGAGAAACAACCGAAAATTTTTAAAATTTGAGGAAAAAAGGGAAACTGGTGTGGTGGTCGAAGAAGGAGAAAAAGGTGAGAAGAAAAAGAGAGAAAGAGAGGAGATGGATAGAATTTTAAGAAAGAAAAAGGAAAAGAGAAAGAAACGTTGTTGTGGTGAATAAAATAATGTCTAATAAATTATAGGGTTTAAAGGTAGTGTGTCACTGTAAGACAGTTTTACACATGCAATAAATTAAAATATCTACAATTGACATATAATATCAATATTTTTAAAATAAAAAAATGCTTTTATTCTAATACGAAGTGTCACCTGATATATGATTGTATTAATAAAACAATTTGATGTCAACCGATCGAGATGAAATGCTACATATACATTAATTGAAATTTGATAAATTTAAAATAAAAAAAATCAAAACTAAAACTAATTTGAGAGACTTAAAGCAAAGTTTGTAGTATTAAATAAGGACGAAACTCAAACTTAAAACCAAGTTAAATTAAACTTTATATTTTAAAAATAATAATAATAATAAACAATGCCATTTTGAATTTGTCTGGTCCAAGAATAGGCATGAGTTATTACTTCAGAAGAACCTCGAATAGAAATCAAACATTTCTTCTGAATCACTTCATCCAAACATCTCCCCAACACCGAACCTTCGAGACATGGTAGTAATAGAGCAGGAGAAGACCGACGACCGAAACGCGAATTTATCAAACGCTACTGCCGGCAACGACGCCTCCGACGGCTTCGAAACCGCCAGTGAGGCCGATCTCGATAGCGACGGTGACGATGACAGAGCTAGCAGCCGAGAAGAATTGCAGCACCGTGAACAACCGCCGAAGCAGACAGAGGGAGAACAGGAACAAGATGCTCCTCAGGGAAGCATTTCCTCCGAGGATACTTTGATCAATGAACATGAATTGAGACAGGTACAGTCTCGAAAGTTAGGGTTTCGTTATTAATTTACGGTTTTGATTCTCTTATATTGCAGTAATTTTCTTTTATTTTTGATTATGATATATTTGGATGTTTATAAGTTGAATTGGTATTGTCTTTGGAATTGATTTTAATTTGAAGTTGGAATTTGGGCATTTGCCTCTAAACCTGATTTTTAGCTTCAAACTTATGGATCAATTCAATTGAATTAAGTTCATGTTTGGTTCTGCAGTGGTAAAAATTGATTTTAAATGAATTGATTTCGTAAAAGTGATTTTAGTTAAAAGTGAGTTGAACTATAGATTTCAATGGAAAAATAAAATTTAGATTCGAAGGTTACAAATCCTTCCAGTTAGAATCAATTCTAGGGACAAAATCAATTCTACTCGAGAGCAACTATACACTGCCTCAAATGTGGAACCAAATATAAAATAAAATTAATTTTACAAAACCACTTCATGTAAAATAATTTTTTGTCGATGCATAACTAAACACACACTAAAGCCCAAAAGGTTTTTTTTTTCTCATGGCCCTAGTTGGAGGGAGGTCAATAACACAAAAAGGGTTTTTTTACATAGAAGGCACAATGCCTATGTCGGAGGGACATTCATTGCATTTTAGTCTGAAAATAACAAAATATTCTTGTCATAAATAATCTAGCCAAGGGTTGTTTGGATAGGATTTTTAAAAAGACGAAGCACTAAAAAATAGTTTATTTTCTGTTTTTCCCCAATATTCCCAAGCTAGAGTAATGATAACCCCAATTTCCCCCCAATATTCATGCAGTTTGAGCAAATAATAATTTGTTTGCCTTATTTGGATTTTGGTTTTATTTAAAAAATAATTCTTAATGATATGAATAGAGTATCAATTGAGTGCAATGGATTTTTGTAACAGAAAGCATTGGATGAAGCAAATGAAGCAAAAGTAGAAGGTAACAAACTCTTTGTAGATGGCAAGTACGAGGAGGCATTATCCCAATATGAACACGCTTTACAAGTTGCACTAGACATGCCTTCATTTGTGGAAATACGCTCAATATGCCATGCAAACCGTGCTGTGTGCTTTTTAAAACAAGTATGCCCCTTTTCTTTTCTACTGTTTACTGTTAATGAGAAGAGGACATTTCAACAAGTGCTTGTATTCTGCTTTTACATTTACATCAACCAGACCAACTATCAACAACACAAATACAAAATAGTATTATTTGAGGAAAGAAGGAGAAATTACAAGTTTTGGGAGGATTAGATATCTTAGCATAAACCATAAAAACTGAGATGCAACAAGATCCAGGACCATAAAAAATGTAAATAATGGTTCAAAGAATCTGCAATACAAGAAAATTATATTCTATTAGTGTTGCCATTACCAATGGAGGAAAGTAAAAAATACGCCATTTTAACTGCCATACCTGCCATGCTGCCACCGTCCTGCACAAATTGGCCATGGTAGTTGTAAAATATCTGCCACCGCAATCTGCGATGGCCAATATTTGACAACATTTTATTCCATAGAAACAGCCATGAGCAGCAGCAGGGTAGAAAAAAGGAAGGCTTGATTCTCTCTTGTAACACGTTTAAGGGAAAAGAGACACCCTTAGAGATATAAGCGTTATGACCAAATCAGAGGCAATTGAATATGTTTTAAAAATAGTTGAACATATTTATTGACTGAGTCTATTGTTAACTTTAAATTTAAGGAAAATACGACAAGTTAGCTCGGGTTGGTATGTGTTTATTATTAGTTCCCTAATTATTAAGTTTGAGCAAAATCTTGATACAACTTCAATCTATTTTATTTTGGAATAGTATTTAAGAACGGTAGCTAAATACCTTTTTCATTATTTCTTCCAATATTTTTATTTTAATCATATAATTTGTTGACATTTAATCATTTGTATTTCAGATTAAGCTACTACTTACTTTTATGTCTCTCTTGTTATGTTTTTAATTGTAATTGAATGAGTTTATTGCTTGATTTTTTTTTACATATGTCAAATATACCTCAGGGAAAATATGAAAATACAATTAAAGAATGCACAAAATCATTGGAGCTAAATCCTGCATATGTTAAAACTTTGGTAAGAAGAGGAGAAGCTCATGAAAAGCTTGAACATTTTGAAGAGGCAATTGCTGGTGAGTTCAAGTTTATATAAGGGCAGGGGGTAATTATGTTAACTCACCAGAGGTTTGGATTAATTGCACCTGACACTGCTTCTGTTTGGAAAATACTATTTGCATCAAGGGTTTTGTTCTTATGTCTGACACCCTTCCTTGGTTGAGGAACCACGTGTACCTTCCCTACTTATATAAGGTTTCTACTCTATTTCCCTTTGTACATAACAAAGTAAGGGAAGTTTAATTTCTCAAACAAGAAAGGTGTGTGGGGTGTGATAATAAGTACTCGAGTTGTCTGTTTGTTTTTGCACTTATTGTATAAGTTTGTTAAATGTGTTTTATACACTAAAAGCATTCAGTTCATTTAGATTTTCCTATTGCACCAGATTCTTTCACTTCACGTTTTTTTTTTCAAAATGTGACTTGCAGATATGAAAAAGATTTTAGAAATTGATCCCTCAAATGATCAAGGTAGGAAAGCCATCCGTCGACTAGAGCCCCTTGCTGCAGTCAAACGAGAAAAAATGAAAGAAGAAATGATAGGCAAGTTATTTTTGTCTATCTCTTGGTTCCTTTTTGTTAAGAGTCCCACATCGGACAAAATATGGCATGAACATGTGTTTATAAATGGGGGCAATCCTCACTCTACCAGCCGGTTTTGTAGGGTTGAGTTAGGCCCAACCACAATTTTTAACATGGTATGAGGGCAATCCTCACACTACCAAAATACAAAATAAATCCGGGTATCCAGCCTCACTCTACCAAAATACAAAATAAACTATTGTTGAATAAACATGTGTTCCAAAATCCGGGTATCCAGCATCAGGGTATGTCTTTTATCCTCATACAAAAGACCTTTTCCTGGAGCACATTTGATGTATCTCAAAATCCGGATAACAACATCCATGTGTTGTCCGGACGATTTCCAACCAATCTCCTATTCCTATACCTTTCTGAGTTAGATAGAGGCTCCCCCTGATTGGGAAGTAGTTTAACACTTGGATCCATAGGAGTATCGGCTGGTTTAGCATTTAACAAACCTGTTTCTTCCAACATATCCATAGCATATTTCCGCTGAGAAATCACCAAACCATCTTTAGATTGGGCTACTTCAATACCCAAGAAATAACGGAGTTTAACAAGATCTTTTGTCTGAAATTGTTTCGAGAGATGCCATCTTGGCTACAAGCGAAAAGGTATCACCATAATCCAACCCAAAAATTTGAGTGTATCCTTTGGCTACCAAGTGAGCTTTAAATCGATCAATCTTGCCATCTGGACCAACCTTCACTGTATAAAGTCAACGACAACCTAGTAAAGATTTTCCATGGGGTAGAGGAACCAGTTCTCAGGTACCGCTGCTTTGAAGAGCACACATTTCATCAATCATTGCTTGCCTCCACTCAGGGTGAGATAATGCTTCACCTGGAGTTTTAGGAATAGAAACAGAAGACAAAGAAGACAAACAAGTATACTGCAAAGGGGAAAGACGATGATAACATAAATCAATATAATGTGGAGAAGGATTTCGTGTTTGACGTATACCTTTTCGAAGGGCAATCTGAAGATCAGACTCAGGTTGCAGGATCGAATCCGGTGATGGCGAGAGCGTCGGAGGAGAGTCCGTAGTGACCTCAGGGACAGGTACGACAAACTTTTGGTGACGACGTTGATATGTTTGAAGTGGGCGAGGAGTGAGGGGTCAACCGTAGGGGTAACTAGTAGGTCAGGTTCCCTAGAATGATGGGGGATAATGACAGATGGGACTTCCGGAAGAGGTGTGAGAATACTTTCCTGTAGAGGTTCCGTAGTTACTTGGCTGTATTCGAAATATGGAACAGACTCGAAGAAGGTAACATCGGCAGATACGAGGTATCGTTGTAGAGTATGTGAGTAGCAACGATAACCTTTTTGGGATCGATGATAGCCAAGAAAGACACACTTTAGTGATCGAGCTGATAGTTTATCAAGACCAGGGGAGAGATTGTGTAAAAAACACGTTGACCCGAAGACTCGAGGAGGAATTGGGTGGAGTGGAGAGTTTGGAAACATGATTGAATGGGGGACTTTATTATTAAGAACAGATAAGGGCATGCGATTTGAGGTAACATGCCGTGAGCACCGCATCTCCCCAAAATCGGAGAGGAACATTACCATGGAGAAGTAGTGTCCGAGTGGTTTCTACGAGGTGCTGATTTTTGCGTTCAGCTACCCGTTTTGTTGGGGTGTATGAGGGCAAGATGTTTGGTGCAAAATCCCATTGGATGACATAAATGTTTGAAATTGTTGGGATAAATATTCACGTGCATTGTCACTTCTTAGGGTACGAATAGATAAACCAAATTGGATTCTTATTTGTCGATAAAATTGTTCAAAAATAAAAAACAATTCAGACCTGTTCTTCACTAAAAATAACCATGTGCAACGTGAAAAATCATCAATAAAGGTTAAAAAATACCTAGACTCAAAAGGAGACACGATACGTGAGGGACCCCAAACATCGGAGTGAACTAAAGCAAAAAGGGACGCAACCCGTTTATTGACTCGATCGGAAAAGTGACTACGAGTATGTTTCCCTAACTGACAAGACTCACAATGTAAAGTGGATAATTTAGATCAACTGGGCACCAACTTTTGTAACTTGGGAAGACCTAGATGACCTAACTGTGCATGTATAATGAGTGGAGAATCTGTGGTGGAGCATGTGGTAGATGACGTAGGTAAGTAGTAAAGGCCTTGAGACTCACATCCGACGCCAATCGTCTGTCCCGAACTCCGATCCTGCAGAGTAACATTACTGTTAGTAAAGGTGATAGAACAATTAAGAGAACGAGTTAAACGACTGACTGACAGTAAATTAAATGGGCAATTAGGTACATAAATGACAGAAGTAACAAAGAGAAATGGTAAAATTTGAACAGTACCAATCTCTTGGGATCGGGTTTGAGAACCATTTGCGGCAGTTATAATAGGCAAGAAACCAGAGGTAGAGAGGGAAGAAAAAAGACCTTTATTACCAGTAACATGATCAGACGCACCAGAATCAAGGACCCAAGGACCAAGAGGAGATGATTGAGAGAAGCAAACAAATGAATTACCAGTGTGTGCAACCGAAGCAGTGGAACCAGAGATCTGATTAGTCTGACACCACCTGAGAAAATCTTCGTAGCTTGGCGTTGGGTACTGAATAGAAGGTGAAGTCTGCATAGTTTCTGGGTTATCACTTTGAGCTGCATTTACCTGGCGTGGGGGTTTGCCATGTAACTTCCAACAACGGTCGATAGTGTGTCCAAGCCGGTTACAATGGTTACACTTGGGACGAGGTTTGGAGTTGGATGACCCTCCTCGAGGGCGATTCTGATTGTTGCCAAGAGATGCGAGGGCAGCAGTGTCACCTGGTGTTGGAGCAACAGTAGATGGAGGAGAAACCAGACCAAACGCACGAGGTGTAGCCAAGCGCAACAATTGTTCACTAACTGCATCATAGTTAGGAACAGTAGTACCTGATAAAATCTGGTTACGAACGAAGTCGAGTTCGAATGGTAGTCCTTTAAGTGCCATGACCATGAAAATTTTACTCTGTTGTTCGGCATGAGCTGTTGCATCTTTTGCGTACGGCATGAGGGTTGCGTAACTTGCTTTCAAGGCATCAAGTTTACTCAGATAGATTTGCATATCCATATTTTCCATCTTTAGTGTGTCGAGTTTGAGGATGATACTGTATAGACAATGAACGTCGTTGGAGAAGACTTTCTTGTCCTTTTCCCAAACTTCATAGCAAGTGGAGAAGGCTTGATACTGCGCTTGGAGGTTAGGTGCTATGGAGAACCATAACACGATAAGGAGAGAGACATCTGTTTTCTTCCATTTAGCGAGTTTGTCGGAGGCAACATTAGTCAATTGTGTGGTTAGGTGATCTTCATATCCCTGACGACGAAACCACATATCGACAACACGAGCCCATATGTTATAGTTTGCTGATCCGGTTAGTTTTTCACATGGGATAAGAGGAACTTTAGTAAACAGAATCAGCGTCTCCCATAGCTTAATGACACAAAAAACAGAGTGAAATTGGGGTTGTTTGCACTGGAGCACCGTCTTCCGTGAGTCGGAGAGTAAAACAGAGGCCGGATCTGGAATGGGTGAGGAGAGGCGAGTAGATCGGCAGAAAAACGGTCGGAATTAGCCGCCGGACGCGCTGGGGCAGCAGCGGGTAAAAGGGCGACGACCGGATCGGAGGACAACGACAAAACCGGTGTTTTCCCGGAAGTTTTTTTTTTCAAAACGTCGTCGGAAGTTTTGCCGGAACTGTAACGGCGGCAAGACGGTTACGGGAGAATTTTGAAAAGTGAGAGGCAAACCGGAGTGACAACACGGTTTGCCAAAAAAAAAAAAAAAACTCACCGGAAGACAGTAGGTCAACCGGGTAAAATACGGCGAAGAAAGAATTGCCTCTTAGTAGGCTCTAGATACCATCTTGAAATACAAGAGACTAAGAGACATGAATAAACCGTGTGTTTTGAAAAGTACTACAGAGACATTATTATATATAAATAGATTACAACTAATTTCATGATATAGTCGATGTGTGATAGGAATGGATCAGATCCCACAAATGATGATGGGAATGTGTTAGTTAATAGAGATATTATTGGACCTAAACAATGGAGGGTATATGTGAGAAAGAATAGGAAACTCCACAAATAAATAAGAGTTAGTTTAGGTATTATTTTCCATATAAATAGGAGTTAGTTTAGGGATTATTCTCCATATAAAAAGGAGTGTATGAGGTAGTAGTTAGGCATTGATTGATTTTCTGTTTTTGATATTAGGGTTTGGGCAGTGAGAGAATTGTTTCCCTGACTGAGGAGCAGTAGCTCTGGAATTTATTTTACTTTCACATTCATTAATAAAATACTTTTCTTTATCATATTATATCATACCTCTGTTCTATCAATTGGTCCGACCTACCATTGTTCATGCCCAAAGCTCCTAAGATGGCTGACCGTGTTTCTGCAGTGGAAGAAAGGTTGGAAGGTGTTGAGGCTAGCATTGCTGCGTTACGAGAGTTCATTGGTGCTGAGATTCAACGTGCAATGGCTCATCGTGAAGTGCCGCAGCCAAGCAGTACGACAGTTTCCTCATCGCTGGATGAGTTTCGTTTATCGGCGAAGAAGGTGGAGTTGCCGGCATTTACGGGTGACGATCCGGTTGCATGGATCACTCGGGCAGAGACATACTTTGAGGTACAACGAATTTCGCAGGATGTTCGTATTCAGTTGACCAAATTGAGTATGGAAGACCCTACTATCCATTGGTTTAACCTATGGCATGATTCAACAGAGGAATTGTCATGGGAGAACCTCCGTGAGGCGATGATGGTTCGATTTGGAGGTGGGCGTTTGGAGAATCCGTTTGAGGAATTAAAGGACCTAAAACAATCGGGATCAGTAGAGGAATATATTGTTGAATTTGAACTGTATTCTTCACAGTGTGGTTGTTTGCCAGAACAACAATTTCTAGGTTATTTCATTGGTGGTTTA